ACGCCCGCCGACTGCCGTAAGTAACATGGCTCCACGAGCCTAAGGGGAGTGCCAGTGAGGGTGACGCTGGGTACATGGTTTCTGTCGAGAAGAGCACTCCTTATAAACGCCCCGTAAGGACGGGACGCGGTCCTCGTTGGTCTTCAAATGCTGCTATCTACTCCACGACGCCCTTGCATGTGTTGAGCTTTCGTTTGAGGTGGAATAGCACGAGGAGAAGAATCTTTACACTTAGTGCTTCGTCTAGTCTTTATTCCTCTCAGGGTGGCCAGTATTTGACTTATTTATCCTGCTTGAAAGCTACTTGAGATGTGCACTGCTATTCTAAACAAGTGATCGAGTTTCCTCGTCCCTGGTATAAGATTATAAACTCAATGTTAAATGTCTCGACACATAAAAGGTCAGCTGTGGCTTCTGTAGGATCTGTGTTGCAGTCGGGGTCTCGGGTGTCCAGTGACGGCTCGTGAGGAGCAGACCTTGTCCCTTGCGCAGCTGCCGTGCCCATGCCCGCCGGGTCCCGTTTAGCCGCCACAGCGTCTGTTTCCTGCGTCTTGGAGGAAACGGGGGGAGGGGTCTGCGTTAAGAGCAAGCCAAGCCCTACCTTCGAGGATGGCCCCAGCTGAAAGTGGACAAGTCCGCTTCTCGACAGACCACCTCCTGAGAAACTTGAGAAGTATCTGTCCATTTTACCATTATGAAATCTATAATTAAAAAAGTTTAGATGCCTTCTCCTTTTGAGGGAAAAAGGGTGCTTTTTATTGTATAAAGCAGCGTCTATGTGTTTTGATATACCATTGTTTGAACTTCTGTCTTTAGCTGATAGATCCTCAAATGCCCTTGATTTTGGATGTTCGGTATGTTTGTGAGAGAGGTTTCTGGGAAGACTCTGCCCTCGGGAAAAAGCAAAATATCGATGTTGGGTGATTGTGTAAAAGCTCCGTGTATAAGAACATCTTTCTGTCTGGGTTTTATTTCTGCTCTTTATCGAAGACAAACATTCACCAAAAAACAAGAAAAAAAAAAAAAAAACTCTTTTAAGAGAAACTAATTTTCTTTGACAAGAGTCTCACTTAATATTTTGACCTATCACAGTTCCCCTGGTTGGAACTCGGATTCCTTGTGCTAATTGCCAGCTTACGCATCATCATCTAGACACCTGTTCGCTCTGCACCAGGCCGATGGCCGAAATGCTCACTGAACAGAGCCTGGTGACCGTTTGTCTTCATAAAGCTCTGCGTTCGGCATCTTCACTCTTCCCCAAATGTGTCTACACAGAAATGTCACTATTCTGAGTGTCTTTTTAGTGTGGCTTTAGTATGGCTTCCTTTTAATATTGTACATACATTGTATCTTTGTTTTATGGTAATAAGTAATAAAAATGTAGACTTCATATTTTGTACAAAATGTCCTATGTACAGAATAAAAAAAAGTTCATAGAAACAGCAAAAATAGGTAAGTGGCACAATTATTTTTCTTTAGAAAATATCTGTAACTTTATGCTTTAGTGAAATGTTAAGTACCTACATATTTTTTAACATTTTGTAATTCAGAACTTTTCGTTTTGACATTGTTTATGAAGAGAAACTTCACACACTTGCCATTTAATACGCTCTTTTATCTAATTTTAAAAAACTCTATAAAATGGTGTATTATACGGACTAAATAAAGGACATGTGAATTGTCTTGTTCATCATGGAGCTGCACTGGGCCCCGGCGACCCTGTCGCGTTCCTGCCAGGGCAGGGGCCAGCCTCACCAGGGACCCCGGCTTAGGAGGCCGTAGGAGCCCCTTCTCGGCCCCCGTGAGCTCCTGCGGCCCGCCGCTCGGGCCGGGCTTCCCAGAGCCCTTCCGCAGGCTGCCGTCTTGTCCACTGGTGGGAGCACAGGAGCAGCTGTCCACACCACCTCCTGTCCGCGTGTGGACATTTGTGGGCAGACACAGCCGAGGGAAGTGGAGCGGTTTGAGCTCTAGGGTTGGAACACGTTGTCAAAGAGAAATTCACGTCGTGAGAGTGGACGCACTGAGGGGGTCATGGGTGCGAGTCCTAATTAACCCGCCATGTCCACGCACCGGCCATTGGCCTCACAGTGCTGCTGCTTCCTAGTCCCGGGTCTTCGCGTGACCATAGTGGCGTTTCCTCCGGTCACTGTGGTCAGCGTGTCTCTCTGCAGTGGCACCTGACGACCTGCCACTGCGATAGCTGCCGCTTGCCCCCTTGTCGCTTTATCTGTCGGGGGTCTCCCTCCCTTCTCGGTGGCATGTACGTGCAGGAGCCCAGACCCAGGCCGCGTGGCCCGGGCTTCCCGGAGAGTCTTCAGCCCGAGTACCTGGTACTTTGATGGGTTTTCTGGTTCTTAATAGAGTCTCGCTGTGTCCCGATCCCCGTGCCTCAGCCGCCCTTGCAGCCGGGACCTCAGGTGCCACCAACATGCCCTGCTTTGAGCGTGTTCCGGGAATGGAACCCCAGCCTCCGCCTTGGAGCACAGCCTGCCCATTAGCAGCTCCCACAGCTGGGCCTATGGGGTGTCTTGAAGAACCACACACGCCCCGCCTCCACCTGGAAGCAGGTGTGCTGGCCAGACTTAAATCTGGCACGGCTGCTCTACTGCCGCTCCCGCCAACTGGATGCTCACCCTGTGTTCCTCGTCTCCTGTCTTGAAACTGGGGGGAGCCATAATGACTGATAGCTCTGTAGAGCGCGAGAATTGCTGAGAACTTTCCAGGTGGGAGCTACGGTTTGACCCAGCAACACACTGCTCCTACTTCAGGGCAGCAAGGCGCCTGCGCAAGCCAAAGTGAGCTGACTTCGTTCCCTGCCATGAGAAGAGGCCATGCCCTGTCAGCAGCGGTGATGATCAAAACTAGTATCTTATCGCTGCTTTTGCCAGGGCGCGGCGTACGCGCCTCACCCCCGGGTTAATTTCCTTAATCCTCACAACCCAACAGTGTGTGCCCGTGTGTCCGCGTTCACAGCCGAGACGGGCACTCAGAGGAGACCCCTGCCTGAGGCCCCCGTGCAGAGTGCAGGATGGTCACCTCAGCAGCATGTCCCATGCTACAGGCACCCCTAGATGGACAGTGGGAACACACTGGGCCACGACCTCAACCTGAAGCCCCCATGACGTCCCGCTGTAGCAAACCCTGGGCCAGCAGGGTTATGGGTGACCCTGGGCCTACTGTGCCCCGCCGCGGCACCTTGACAGCCAT